ACTACTACTACCTACTACTACTACTACTACTACTACTACCTACCTACCACTACTACTACTACCACTACTACTACTACTACTACTACTACTACTACCTACTACTACTACTACCTACTACTACCTACTACGACCTACTACTACCTCCTACTACTACTCCTACTCCTACTCCTACTCCTACTCCTACTCCTACTCCTACTACTACTACTACTACTACCACCACTACTACCACGACGACTACTACTACTACTACTACTACTACTACTTCTACCACCACTACCACTACTGCACAATACAATAATCACAGTCAGAGAGAGGTTCTGCCGCCGTCACTCCAGCTGCAGCTACTCCGCCTTTCAAGAATCCCTGGAACCTAATCAAAGCCAGCCTGCTCTTGGAGAAGGGTCTTGGAGTCATCCACGGCCTTGGAAGCAGCTTCTTCCATCCAGAGATCTTTCGGCTCTTCGACTTCCGGGCTTAGTGTAGACACCATCTGGAAGAACCATGAATCAACCATGATTCAAGGATCACTAGTAACACTAGTATGCTCCGTGTTCCTATACACCATGGGACCACATCCGGCCCAGGAATGTCGAAACAAATTCAAGGTCATCATGGAAGTATAAATAAACATTCTCATGGTTTCCCAGCTACAACAATTATCCCACGTGGAATCCTACGCCAGGTCTCTTAGTCCACGAGCCTCCACGCGGACAAACTGCGAAAAAGTGATACTAACCACTCTTGATCACAGGCACATGCTGAACCTGGGGACCTAATGCTGGAAGCATGACAAGCTTCCGGCAAGGATCGCTACTTTGTCAGCTTCCCAATGCACTTCATCACACCTGGTGGCTTGACCTGTCTGGAGATCAGTCAACCCTGAACCGTCACGTCCACAAAATCCTCAAAACCCTACAAGCCTAAACCCTAAGCCCAATGAATCGTGCTCGGAGACCATGCTTTGCGGCTCTACGCCGTTGGCCGTTGCGGTGAACCTTGAGGCAAACCCTGACCCCTAAACACCGAACCGAACCCGAAGCTGCAAGAACCTCCAAACGTCCCCAAAGCTCAAGCTTGAAACCTGAACCCCAGCCCCAGGGCTCCCTGAAACCTGAACCGCTCTTCCAGGAACACTTCTCCAAGGCTCCATGGGCTCCGGTGCCGTTGAGACCGGCTCGGGAGCACGGTTGGAAACGACGGGCGCCACCTATCCGGCTCTCGAGGATAGGGCCGGTTTAGTGCTTTGGGCCCATCGGGCCTTAGGGTTGGGGTTTAGGATTGAGGTATTGTGAGGCTCCGAGGGGGAAGGCAGTCACCCAATCCATGTTCCGTAATTCCTGGATCCCTCAACCCAGCTAGTCCGCCCATGTCTGACCCGTACCTGCTCGACGTGTTTCAGGAAGCTGATGATCGTGGGAACGTTGTCCGCGGGGTATCCCTTCTCGGCCACGAAGTCACGCGCCACCTGCTGGGAGCAATGGGAAGTCAAACCGAGCCTAACCCAGCTGTCGCAAACTCTGGATTATAAACCGGTACCTGTCATCCAAGTTTTCACGAGCCTCCTGACAACATTACCGATCATCGTGCTAAAAGAGAAGTTGAGGCCAAATTAGGGCTCAGGAGACCCAAAACCAGTGGACAGCTCGAGAGCTCTGCACATCACTTCTCCTGCCTTCTCGTGGTCGTCACCCCTGCGCCAGGAGATCTCACTGCGACGCCCATCGTCCAGCTCCTTGCAGAGGCCACAAGGTCTACGGTGCTTGTCCAAGATCAAGATCCAACATCAAATCCCAGGATGCTCCCGAAACACCCTAGACCCTGACCGCCCAAAGGCCACACTTTCGATCAAGGCTCGACGGGGAAGACGTAGGCGGGAGCCGAGGCCGCCAGTTGGGGTCGTGCAGCCTGCACAAGCTCTCGGCATCTCTCGGTTGCAGGATTCAGCGGCTGATGTACAAACCTTCGTGACATGGGTTTTGAGTTCGGATTCGGATTCTTAGCATCATAAAGCTTCTGAATCGCATGCGCCACAAAAGACGGGTGTTTGTGTTTGTCTCCCGAGATTTCCCTCAGCGTAGCAGTAGCAGCAGCAGCAGCAGCAGCAGCAGCAGCAGCAGCAGCAGCACGAGCCGAACAAGCAGCACTGGAAGCAGCAGTATTGGTGGTGTAGTCGTAGTAGTAGTAGTAGTAGTAGTAGTAGTAGGAGTAGGAGTAGGAGTTGGAGTTGGAGTAGGAGTAGGAGTAGGAGTAGGAGTAGGAGTAGGAGTAGGAGTAGGAGTAGCAGCAGCAGTAGGAGTAGGAGTAGGAGTAGGAGGAGGAGGAGTAGTAGTAGTAGTAGTCGTCGTCGTAGTAGTAAGTAGTAGTAAGTAGCAGTAAGTAGTAGTAAGTAGCAGTAAGTAGTAGTAAGTAGTAGTAAGTAGTAGTAAGTAGTAGTAATAGTAGTGGTAGCAGCAGCAGCAGCAGCAGCAGCAGTAACAGTAGAGCGAACACACCCAAAACCCCCTTCCAAAACCCTGCCAAAGTCCGGCTTCAAGCTTCAAACTAAAGCCGGAACCGTCAAAGTCGCAACAATCGCTGCCTCAGAAAGCTCGGGTGCAGGGGCGCTGGGTTCTGGCATCTCATTGGCTTGCGCCTCTGGGGTTCACGACGGGGCTTTGGGGCATCGGGTGTGGCAATCTTTCGCCTCGAACCTGTGAAAGGGTTCATTAGGGCTCAGGATGTCAGGGCTCGCGAGGTTACGCTTGAAGGCTTTGCGGCTTTGCGGAGGGGTTCTCAGGGTCCCAAGATGAACGGTAAGCTTAGGATGTCGTGCTTGGAGAGTCACCTTGCAGCGGGCTCGATTGCCTAGAGAAGGCTCGTTTGATAATCACGGCATTCTACCAACTCTTACTTTGTCGAACGTTGGTGTACTTGGAATTGAACTGCTTTCGCTCGGCGCTGGAGCCCCAAACTGCTCCCTCATTACTGGCAGCAGCAGTCGCAACCATCATAGCGAAAGCTTTGCTAAAATAAAAAAGAAAAGGAAGAACCACAGAATCTTATCGATCAAAGCAACAGCTGCTACTGTTACAACAATGGCCTTGCCAAGAAACATGAATCATCACAGCCATAATCCTTGACATACCTTTTAACAGCCGTAGAAATGGTTACAACCAGTAGTGATAATGATGTTGCGAATTCATACCAGGAATCAAAACAATGGTAACAGCACCCGTCGCCAGCAGACTGGCACTGGCAAAACTAAGATCGATGAGGATGACGATCGACGTAATAGAAACAAGGGTAAAAGCAAGCGATGGCAATCGGCAGTTGTTAGTGGATGAACAGATGAGTGGATCAAGAAAGCAATCAAGATCACAAGCAGCGTCTGTTTCCTTTCACCCATGGTGTGATTGCTGTTATTCTGTCAGCAATGACAACAGTGTTACATGCTTCGCTATTGTTATTGCTTGTATTGTGGTTATTGTTGGCTTCCTTACTATGGTGGTAACCGGCAAGGCTTCAGGGATAGCCGAGTCCGAGCAGCCTGCCCCTCGCCGATGTTGAAATACTGGCATCCCGGCTGTGGCGAGGGCTCCGCCGAGGGCTCTGCTGAGGCCGCGGGTCTCGAGGCTGCCGGTCTCTCGGAGTCCTGGCTTGGGCTTAGGGTCCTGGCTGTTGCGACAAGGGTTTAAGGATTTGGGTTGAGCTCTGAGGGTTGTGGTTCAGGGCACTTTGGGTGTTTATACCCTGAGTTTGTCAGTCTGGAAAGGATTTGGACTGCAACCCTGTCCTGTAATAAAGACTTGTATGATATATGATATACAAACATAAATACACATATACATATACATATACATATACACATATATACATACATCTTGATGTGTATATATATATGCACACATCTTACATTTGAATACATATGATTTTCTATATATATATATACATACATACATACATACATACATACATACATACATATATATATATACACACCTAAACATCACAAACCCTAAGCCACACAGAGTAAAACCCTGAGCCGTAAAACCCCCCACCCCAAACCGCAAAACCCTGAAACTCCTAACCCAAAGCCAAGATTCACCCATAGAGTGCCATAGAGTTTAGGGTTTAGGGTTTAAAGGTCTTGCGCCATAACCCTTCCAAGTGACTCGGGTCCTCAGTGGCCTCCCACCAGCGCTTGCCATGGCAACGGCCCTTGCCCTTGCAGCCCTTGCCTGGCTTTTGCTGGGGCATTGTGTCGCTTGGGGTTCTTGGGTTATTTGGGGGTCCTTTCCGTCTGCACGCGGGTGCGGCCTACGGAGGCCTACATGAGGCGAACCAAAGGTTATTTGGGTTTAGGGTTGGGGGTTTCGGTTCAGGCCAAGCCCGTTGAGAGCAAAACTCTTTTTCTGGGGGTCAGGATACCAAGATCCGATTCTACATGGCTTTCTGCACCCAAGAAAGAGTGTTGCTGACTGGACTACCAGGTTGCCCTTGCCCTTTCCTTTCAGAAAGCGGCACATCCATCGCAGCTTGCCTCCGCCAAAGAAGTCCCAGAAGTTTCCTGCCAAGCCTTTTGCGTTGACGAAGTTGACGAGAATGCACTTGAAATCCTTATGCTCCGGACTGATCTGATGCCTCTTGGCGAAACACTTGCCGCAAAGGTCGTAATCTGGATGGTTGAGGCTCTTGAAGCGAGGGCCCATAAGCGGTGTAGCCTCACAGCCATCACAGGTGATGCAGTCATGCTGCAAGAGCCTCAACAGCAAGGGGCCGAGAGCTTCCAAGGGCGCCAGCAGCTGGTCCTGCTGCTGGAAGAAAGCAGTCAGAAGCTCCTGCTGCTTTTGGGGCTCCAGCGTGTTCAAACCCCGCACCAGCGACTGCAGGAACAGGCCGGGAGCTGCCCCCGGGCTGTTTGGGCTCTCCAGCAAGAGCTCAAGATGGGCCTTGGCCTCGGCGAGGCCGTAGGCAGCAAGCAAAGGCACCAGCTTGTTCATGGCCTCCTGGAGGGTCCCTTGGATGGGCGGGTGAGCCAAAGCAGCCGCGAAGCCATGCCCCAGCTCCTCAGGGTCACCTGCAACCATGTCAAGCAGCTCCGGCAGCTTCCACGCAACCATGCCGGCGAGGACTTCCGGGGTCAGGATCGACTGGAGGCTGGGTTGCGTGCCTTCCTGTCCAGTCTGCTCTTCGTGCGAGGTCTCGTCGAAGGCCGCAGCGTTCTCCGTCTCAGGGCAGGCATAGCTGAAGATGTCGTGCCAGCTGGCCTGAGCTGCGTTCACTCGGAAACACTTGATCCAATGCCACAAAGAGCGAAACCGTCATCCACGAAAGCATTTAGAAACCAGGGAAACCCCGGCGTCGGCCTAACTTCGCAGCAGGGCAACGCGGAAAGGGCACTCCGTCTGGAAGAGCTTGCCCTTGCTCTTGCCCTTGCCTTTGCCTCAGCCGAAAACAAGGCTCCAGATTCACTTCTTGCGCACCAGAAAACCTCTACAGAATACAAACTACGATCCCAACCATTGTGGCTTGTACCGGATTCGGGATAGTATATTCCCAGCGGCACTTGCCCTTGCCCTTGCTCTTGCCCTTGAGGTCGTGATGAGCCCAGGCATTCCAGGGGTAACAAGACGACTCCCAGTAGCTGGCGCCGGGATGGTAACCCCAATAGTTGGACCACCTGGGGCACAAGGGTTCCTAGAAGGGTTACGAAAAGGGCTCCTGTGAGGGTTACTGTGATGGCAGCTCTTCCAAACTAGGCTTCTTCGCATGGTAAACACTTTAGGGAGCCCTAAACTTCATGTAAAGGCACCCGTCTTCCATGAAAGGGGAGCTGTTCAAAATGTTCCGAGGGTACCTGTGGCTTAAGGTTCTCTTGCATGGAGCGGAGCTGCCTTGACAAGAAGTGTACCTGAACAACAACACCTGTAAGACTTTACAATGAACGGATAGCATCCTCCTAAGCCATAAGCCATCCTAAACCCCCGCCACTCACTGCAAGTTGAAAGCAGGCACCGCAGTCTGAGGGCTGTTCCGGAGCACCAAGCCTGTCTAGGATGATGATTGTGGTTTTACAAATTCTTATACATTTTAGGTTCAGGGTATCCAGGCGCTTGGGCCGGCCAGGTGCAAGGGCAGGTACCCCTCAGCACTCTGAAAGCTCCTGCCCCCGACTCCCCACTGTTGGGCCCGTAGACAGATCGAGCCAATTTTATATGATGCTATGTTGCATTACATCATATTGTATCATATCCTGTTGTTGGTTTTGGGGCTTTTGGATCCCCTTTTCCAGCTCAAGATCCGAGTCCGAGGCCCCCACCAGTCACCCTCTGCATGCCGTGGGCTGCTCGGGCCGGACTGGTTCAAGGCGTCGTAGGACGCAGAAGGTGCGCCCTGCGAGGAGAGCCGTCGTTGCTTTGGGTGTCCCTGTGCGTCCGTCCCGCTGTCAGCATAGCCCAAAGCCGTCTCGATTAGGTGTCGTCCAAACCCTACACACCTCAACTTCGACCCTAAATCCTCGAACCGCAAACCTTAAACCAAAGTCCCAACTAGACCCCGCACTGCAGCCCCAATTTGACTAAACCCATAACCGCCAATGAACCATGGACGTCCAAAACCCGAAACTCTCCCTTTTTACATCCTACACACTGAAACCCCAAAACCCCGAAATCCTGAACCCCGAAAATCCTAAGCCCAAGCAGTCTCCAGCCTCCAGCGATGGGGCAGTCTCGGACATCACCGAGCGGAGTTCCGATCGGGTGACCGGAAGCCTTGATGCCGTCGGGGGGGGGGGGGGGGGGGGTTCGGGAAAAGGGCTCCTATCCACGGGTTCGGGGGTTGGGGATTGAAACGAGAGGGTTTGGGATTCAAGGAATTCGGGCGCTGCGGCAAGCAAAGTGCAACAAATGACTAGCACGAAACAAACACTCTGATGCAGTCGCACACATCAGTGCACGTGAATGTGGTGGAAATCTCCTGCTGCGCTGTGCTCAGAGCATCAAGTCATGCACAGTTTACCCATCTTCCGACAAAAGGTATCGGCAAACGTGTTCCTGTGATCAGGGCTTGGATTGGAGTTACGTCCAGGTCCAGGCAAGACACAGGCTGGGGCTGTCGACCAGCTGCAGCTTCAGAAGCAGCCGTCCCTCCTTCTGTCCTCGACAAACGGAAGACAGACTGTCGCTGCGCGCAGGCTTGAAGCTGCTTGGCAAGGAATCATAATCCAGCGCTCTGAGCGCTCTGAGATGACCGCGAGGTTTGGAATCTGGCTTTAGGCATGCAAGGTTGCCGAGAAAATCACCAGCTGCGTTGCATTACAATTAGAGGGAATAGCCTAAACTAAACCAGAACAGCCCCATGCACTTGCTTGGCCGATAGCAATTTAGCCCCCCTGGTCCTTTGGACTCGCTGCCACCGCCTTAGGCCGAGTGGTGAACTCTGTGCGGAGTAGTAAGTTAACGCTTTGCGCGGTCCGGCTGTGAGCCCCCGGGTCTGCCTACGAAACATAGCCGACAGCGCAACATATAGCTGACTCGAAGGTTTGAATCGTATTTCGAGCCTTCGTTTGAGCCCTTTCGGTGACTCACCAGGTCGTCCTACGAAACATAACTGACAGCCCAACATATGGCTGATTCACAGATTTGAGCCGTGTTTTGAGCCGTAGTTTGAGCCTTTTAGGGTCTCGGGCTGAGGGAACAGGGTTGGGGGTTCAAAGTCCGAGATTTAAGGTTTAGGGCTAGGTGGTTGCTAGGTGCAAAGTGTCGTGAGTCGTGACGAGATCCAACTGACCACCGAATCAGGTGTTGCAGGTTGACTTCATATACGGCAGGGTATCAATTTGTAGATGAGTTGGGGGGGCCGATGTTTGCACAGGCAAAGGTTCCAGTAGGCTGTCTAGGATACAGTACGTGCGACTTCGAGCTTCAAGGCGTGAACGCTGAGGGTCTGGGTTTCCAGCAATGATTCAGGAACTTCTTCGGGCACCGGCGAATGAAAAACAGTTTCGTTGCAATGATTTGAGCCTTGAGCCTGGTGAACATGATCGTGCACGAGTGCCTTACAGCATGGTTTCCCTGCCGACCTAGGACCAAAAGCAAAACCATTCAGAACTGGGTTAATGTCGGGCTTTCAGCTCTTCCGGATTCTACGATGCCCACGTATAGGCTCCACATGGGTTTGGGGGTTTGGGTTTAGGGTACTGAGTAGTAAGCACCCTGAGCCTCAGCCCTGAGTCCTGGCACTGGACCTTTAAAAAGGAAGCATACCCAGTGACGGTGACCTCAAGCCTCAAACCTCACGCAAAGTTTGAGCTCACAAACACCTCGGCCTCGGAATGGATGTTTGCCAACGGCCTTTCCTGTCGGTATGCTGCAGCTGCAGGTCCAGATTGGACTCGCCGCCCACTGTACAAACTGCTGTTAAACTGCAAACTGCTTCTGTTTCTGCTTGACTGCTTCAAAACTGCACCTGCAAGATTTACCGGTCAATCGAAAAACGTACTTGCAGCTCTTCGAAAAGCAACATCCGTCTCCGCCATCTCCGCCTCTCCAGCCTGCCGCTTTCTTCCACGGCCACCACGGCCTTTGCCCAGGCCCTTGCCCTTGCTCTGTCCTGCCGCCGACGACTCGACCAAAGCAGCTGCAGCAGTGGAGCCGATCTCATTGCTCCACGAAGCAGATCGGCGAGTGATCAGCCACGCCGTGGAGTTCACGTCACTCAGCCGCAACATGTGCGTAAAGCCATAAAGCAACACAGCTAATGCACTCGGAATGTGCATCGAATTGCCCAGAAATTGCTTGGCAGATCTCGGAGCCGACGAGGAAATGACCTGCATGATGTCGGAGCGATAGCGGTCATTCCTGAGTGTTCCCCATCCATGCACCGTGAAGAGCTCCGCATCAGTCAAGGCTCGGGCGGATGTGTGCTCCACCAGGTTGCCATGCGTCAACAGGCAAGGCACGAAAGGCGACGGAGTGCATTTTCCGCTTGCCGGATTCTGCTCCCAGTCGCAAAAGAAAGGCAAACCCATCTCCGTCAGCGGTCGGGTCTGACGCATCTCCTCATATGCCATTGCAGCGGAAGTGCTGCTCGGGTTGGCTGCACTGCATAAGCACTTGAAACGTTCCGTCCTGTCCGTCGGCTCCTCCAGCAATGCTCCTGCACCCAAGTGAAGCTGACGCAACAACATGCGATCTGCTAGTTGGGACCGCCTAGACGACCACGAATCTGTCATATAACAGTTGCCGTAGGAGGTGGGCTCGGCTCCAAACATGTGGAAGAATCGCTGAGCTTCATCGCTTTCATTTGGCGGCGGGATCCAAACCATTTTCTCTTTCGCGATGCCCAACACGAACAGCCGGGGTCTGTTGCACGGAAAGCCCAGGTCCTGCCCCAGGTAAAACATCCAATGCTGAGTCACAACAAAGTTTACAAGGGCACGAACCAGATGTCCAATGCTGAGTCACAACAAAGTTTACAAGGGCACGAACCAGATGTTCACTTTCACTCTACTCTAATTGCCACTGTCACTGGCATGCCTCTACCACTGTCTCTCCCACACACACGCACACGCAATCCGTCGCATCCACTTGCACTGCTCACACGTGCTACGACTGCTCGACTTCAACTCCTCAACCCTTGGCATGCCTCCCATACTCCCTCACTGTCACCCTCACCGACCCCCACCTGCACGCTCACGCTCACCCTGCCCCCGACTTGCCCCTGGCTCTCATCACTCAATCTCTAACTCTCCAACTCTCTTGTCTCTTGCACGCTGGGCACCCTGAACGTTGCATCCACAACACTGTGCAGTCTCTGTGCATTGAGGCATTGAGGTGAATGCCTCAATGAGTGGAGCCATTGAGCTTGCTTGTTCGCACTGGATCGGAGTCGGCTCTTCACGACTTCATGCAGCACTTCAGCTGCAAAACGTCGCTCTTGAAAGAACTTGAAAGAACCAAAGAAGCCCGCCCACGCCCTGCCACACAGGTTCGCCCATGCAGCTCGGCCCCTACAGTTACAGTGCAGGCGCTGCGAATCCCAGACAAATCGAAAGTTGGCGAAAGTTCAGACTGCGAGTCTGCACTTAGCAGACCCACACTCAGAACGCACGAGTGCTGGCAGGTGATTATAGTTTGTGTGACAACAGTGCGGAGTCCACGACACATGTCACTGGTTTACATGCACTAAGCCACTAAGCACTGCTTCAACTAGATAATTAAACAGACAAACATGTCGATCTATAATCTATACTCACATGCAACCGTGGGCCAATGCTCAGACGGTCACTCTAACTTTAAACTCGACATCTCATGATTTGTGCCCTGATACGTACGACACACAGTCAATACAACACCTGCACTGCACTCAAGCTGCTCGTAGCAACATCGCATCGCATGGAAAAAGTGGCATCACCCATGATGCCATCGGGACTCAAGCTGCCAGCCCTCGGCCACCAGCGCCACCGGTACCGGCAATCCCAGGTCAACCGTCACATTCACTGATCGTTGCCTTCACCCTCCTGCTTGGAAAGCATGTCAATGATTTGGTTGTACTTGTCGCCAGCCTTGCCACACATGATCAAGATGTCTCGCATGGACTTGTACTGCTTCAGGTCATCCTCAGTCGTGTCGGCAAGGAAGAAGCCTTGGCGGGCAGCAACAAGCACTGCCCCGTCAACAGCAAGCTCGAAGCAAAACCATCCCATTGGAATGCCGATGACCTCTCCCGGGATTGCCTTGTGCATGTAAAGCTTGACGCCGGCCTTCTGCATCTTTACGAAAGCCTCCATATCCAAATCCTCCAGCAGGCTGCAAAAGGCATCGACATCGGAAAACTTGGAATCAGGCTTCAGGAGTCCAAGCTCCGTGAGGCCCCTGACCACATCTGTGCTCGACAGACTCACATGAAGGACTTGACCCATGGCCATAGTTTTCAATGTCAAACAGCCATTGGCTTGCAAACCAACGAACCGCATCTCAGGGGAGTATCCTGCAAGCCAGGTCGTGTTCTGAAAGGATTGGCTCGCTGGGAAAGCCTGCATGTTCTTCGTGGGGGGGATCATGCCGGAGAACATCTCGACCGTGTTCTCGTGCCCATGCTTGGCCTCGAGCGCTGCCGAGACTCTGCCACGGTTGAGGTAGTCGGGGAAGGCCTTGTACTTCACTGCGTAGGACTGCGTAGTCTTGGATACGATGGCATTCGTAGACCACTTGTCCACAGCCACAGCGGCGGCACCTGACAGCACCCAAGGTGCGGACATAATCGGCAGCTTTCCAACCTCGACTTCCGTGAAGGGGTGGATGGTGAAGCCGGATGGCAAACCATCCACTGACTTCTTTTCATTCATGAACTGGCAGGCCACATAGCCCTTCTTGCTGACACCACTCTTCTTCTCCGCCAACATTGCCTTTGCACGTTGGTCGCTCTGCTCCTTGAAGGCATCCACTTGCTCGCGATCCTTCTTCTTTTGCTCGGCCTTGGCTTTGCGCTGCATCTCCTTCTCCTCTTGGGCCTTCCGCGACTTGGCGTCCTTGGTGGCCTGGTTGACTCCCTTCTCCAAGGATTTCACAGCAAGCTTCTTGGCACCCCATGTCTCCTTGGCCTCCTCCAGCAGTGCCACAGTTGTGGCCGCTGCCACGTTCTTGTCGATGGCATCGTGGAGCTCAGAGAAAGCCTGGAGGTGCTTCACGTGCTCCTCCTGAACAGGCAGCATGTCCGGGTGGTTCTTCAGGAGCACCTCAATGCTGTCATGCGATTTGCCGGAGTAAACGTCCTTCAGGAAGTCAACGTCTTTGTACTGAAACAGAGCTGCCAAGCCACGCAAGCGGAACTGCAAGTGCGGCACCAACGCCTGCAAAGACGGATCGGACGGGTCCTTGCAAGCGGCCCATTGCTCCATGCCCTTCTTGCCTGCCTCTCGCAAAGCACCCTCCAAGCCTCGAAGTTCGACTTTCTGTTTGTTGACAAGCTTGGGCTTCTCGAGGGCCAAATCCACAGGCTTCACCGGGCTGCCGTTTGAGTCTGCTGGCGAAGTGGCAGCAGCAGAAGGAGCAGCACCTGGCGGCGTCTGAGGCGAAAGGAAAGGAGGCACTCGCCGTGCCTCCCCACGCAGGAAGCTCTCATCAGCTGTTCTGGAGGCAGCATAAGCCCTGAGATCTTCGACGTCGTCCTCACTCAGTCTCCTCATGGGCCGGCTGTTGCTCACGACCCGTGACTGACCAAAGCGGGCCTTCTTGCGCTGATAGAATTCGGACGCCGGCACCCAGAGGCGAAGAGCTCCCAAAGCCCCATTGGCACATCTGCCCTTGTAATCCTTCTTAGAAGTCTGCTCCATCTCCTTCCACCAGTTGGAGGCTCCGGTGCTGGTGAGTCTCTTTGTCTCCATGGCCCAATGCAAAAATTCGGCCTCAGTCATGGGCCAATCTTGGTCCACATCACCATGCTCATTGTTGACGCCCTCGATGTGCTGGTACTGTGAAAAGTCATGGGTTCTTTTGCGCGACCACTTGCCGGACGGTGGATTCTTCTCGCACCATTCACGCATCGCCACTTTGCTTCGAATCTCGCAAGACATCACTTCTTGCAACTCGTCCTGCTGCCCACTTTTCTTTGCATTGGCCATCATGGCCGCATAAGCCCGCTTGTGATCCTGGCACCAGCGCTGATTCTTGCAAGCTTCGTTGGGGCAGGCTTCAGCAGCGCACATCTTGGGGCCAGCAGCCGCTTTTGCTCCAGCCTTGGCCTTTGCCGTGGTCGCGGCCGCCGGTTGCTGGGAGGCGGTCTGTGCACTTCCAGCCTCGATCTGAGTGGATGCCACACGGTTCTGGGGTGGTGGAGACTCGCCATCCATGGTCGAAGTTCCACGGATGGCACTGCTCACGAAAAGCACTTGGGGTCACAAGGTGCCCACTCAGGTGACTCAGGGCCTCATGCAGGGCCTTGAAGCCGCAAGAATCTTCGGCGATCAAACATGTGCATTTCATCTATGTTAACACAATCCCGAACCGACTCCACAGTAGCAGACAGCAGAGCACTTCAGAGCACAGCAGCCTCCTGCAGACGTGTTGTGTGTTGCAGCTAAGTGAAGCCCCGACGGTTCTTTTTATGGAGAAGGCATGGTGTACATGTTCTGCTGTTGTTTGAAGGTGTTGCAGGGCAGCTTTCCTGTGGGTTTTGGAAAATGGGGGGACGCAGCGTGGCAATGTGCATTTCCAAGCAGGCGCGCGCGCGCGCCTGGTTCCAGCACCCACCCAACCCAGCAAGGCGCCCGCCCACACGCAGCCTGGCAATGTGCATTCGTGATGCGTGCGCCTGGTTTCAGCACCCACCCAACCCAGCAATCACCTGCGCTGAGGGGAGTGTTGTGGGCTTCGTCAATGCGATGCGTGACTCCGCGACATATATGCGTCCTTGTGGCACGTTCGACTTTCGATTCACAGCACGCACGCACGAGCACGTGCGCACGCAGGCACGCACGTACGCACACATGCACGTACGCATGCACGCACGCACGCACGCACGCACAGGAATCTGCTCAGGCGACATCATGCATAGGGCATAGGCTTTGGGCCTTCACTGGCCTTCGCTGTCACTGCCTGAGCCTGACCTTGAACTGCACGGGCACTGCCACTACAGGCAACAGCAACTATAGAAGAGCAACACAGCACGACTCAGCACGACAGCCAGTCCTTGGGCCCGAAGCTCAGAGGCACCAGGTGGTGAGTGTCCCGCAACTTTGCCTCGATCTTCTCGTAGGGGAACAAAGTCACATTCTCGAAGACAAAGAAATCTTCCGGAGACTGCTGCCGCTCGCTGAGATATACCTGGACGGCCATCTCCGAAGGATCCGCCCCCTGGCGCCGCAACCCCACTTTGCTGTACGCAATGCAAGGCAGCCCTGCGCAATGCATGAGCACGGGATTCGTCTGCACCATGCCGGCTGGCATGCATCGGGACTGCCTGACGTGACACTGCTGCTCATGCACCAAGCAAAATGCTTCATGCTCCTTTGGAAATGCCAATGGACCTTTCTCTGTCAACGCTTGGCCGACCTTCTGGTACCAATTCACTGCTGCTGCCTTCTGCTCGCGATTGCCACAAGCAGGCGGTGTCAGCATGCCCAACTCTTCGCGCACACCGTGTGGCACCATATCTTCCACAGATTGGAAAAGACATGGTCGCAAGTGACTCTGCATTTGCCCTGCACGAGCAAGCAAAAACGCCTGCTGGGCCGAGCCACTGTCACACCAAGAGCCTTTCACGACCCACCAGTCACCGTCAGTCTCCTCATCGGCATGCCCTGCGCTTTCTTGCATAGCCAATTGAAGCAGTCTCAAGGCCTCGCCGACTGCATCAATACCACTGCACAAACTCACGACCTTTAAGCCAGCATCCTTGAAGAACTGCAAGCGAACACGGTTCTCGGGATCTCGTGTGGCTTTGTTTAACAAATGCACTGGGAAGTCTCGCACATAGCTGTTTGGGGTCTCACTGGTCAAGGCTGCCATTGCCCTGGAGCAGAGGCACTAGAGGGCTTACAGGGTTACAACGCATACGCTCAACTCAAGCACCCAAACATGCACAATGAACCTTCTACGCTTCTGCCACTATATTTTTTACTTTGCTGATACACGGGCAACACAATACTCTAAACAAACACAAGGTGGCACAGAAGGTCGCTAGCAACCTTCCTGGGTCTATTCCTGAGTACTTCTCACAATCATGCTCGCCGCCGTCTGAACCATGCACGGAGTATATATGCATTGGCTGTGCACATGACATGCAAGGAAAGCATTGCACATCTGCCGGGCACACGAGCCGACATGAACTCCTGTTGCTCTGGCTCCGACAATACATAGGTTTGCATCACAGAAGCAATGCACTCACGAGGCTGCTGAATAAGAAGACATCGTCTGCTTTTGATATCTGCCAAGTTCTGTTTGGGACTCTGGGTACTGGGTTCTCACTGGTCGCTAGTTCTCGCCGACAACACGGCAATCCCTCTGTTGCTTTGGAATTTGCTGTGTGTTTCTCAACGATTAGATACGCCCACTAAGCCAGCCGAGTCCAGGGGGCTTAGAGTGGCCCAGAGCCCCGATCCGGGCGGACAATCACCAAGAGGAGTCTGATTCACGGGACCACAGGGCCAACACCCAAAACCCTCTTTGGGCAAAAGCTTCAGGTGCAAAAACCCCAAAGTGAACGCTTGTCCTAAAGTGTGCTGCTTCTGGCTGGATTTGGCTCTTTAGGAAGGAAATGGACCGAACTTGGACAGGCTTCGCTCATTTCAAGGGATTCTGCATGATGTTCATGGAATACAAGACAAACCTGACCCTACCAGCAACAAATCAGCCAATGCTCATCTCAACAAAACAGGAACCGGAAAAAAAGCGGAGGAGAACCGGAGGAACCGGAGGAAACCCGGAGGAGAACCGGAGGAGAACCGGAGGAACCGGAGGAAAACCGGAGGAGAACCGGAGGAGAACCGGAGGAGAACCGGAGGAGAACCGGAGGAGAACCGGAGGAAACCGGAGGAAAACCGGAGGAGAACAGGAGGGCCACAGAGGGCACAAAGGGAGGCCAAGGCAGCCGACCAGTGAGCAAGAAGGCAGAAACCATCAGCGTACGCTTGAAACACTGCCTGTAACACTGCCCTTTGTTGCATTTGCTGGCTTTGCCTGCAGTTTGTCACAGTTTGGGCTCATCAAGGAGGGTTCGGGCCGTCGCGGTTGCACTTTAGCCCTACGTGTTCCCCTAGGGCCCCGGAGTGGTTTGGGAGTTTGGGCAAGCGGGTTGCTGGCACAGGCTGGCACCCAAAGGCCTAAAGCCCTCAAGGGCAATGATTATTTGGAGTGCTGAGCATAGACCTCGACCAACGAGTTAGATATTCTTCCACCCACCCACCACCACCACCACCACGAATCATCAATATACTCGTCACCACAACCTGCAGCAACACCACCGGCATCACGACCACCATCACCAAGTTCTGGCACCATCAACATCACCATCAAAATCATCATCATCGCATACTCCAGGGGACCCCAGCATCATGGCCATCGTCATGGTCATCGTCCATGTCGTTATCATCATCACCATCATCAACATATGCATCATCACAGCATTTTTTAGCTGCAGCAACACCGCAAACAGCAGCAACACCGGCATCATCATCATCATCATCGTCATCACCATGACACATCAGCAGCTCCACCACCATCACCAGCACCAGCCTCCGGCGCTTGAGTCACAACCGCATCGCCATCGTCGCCGTCGCTGTCATCAGGACGATTCATCATCTTCTTCGTTTCGTAGCTATATCACCTTATCTGCGAGGGCTGCTAGGGATACTAGGGATGTTGTTGTTATTGATGCAGCAGGGGCTCAGTGTGCAAACCATCTCACCAAGGCAATTCTCGGAAACAAAGAAAGGAACTTAAAAGAATGCACTGCGCAATGCCACAGACTCTCAGACCTTCACCTTCACATGGGCTTAAACACGGATAACCCTGCCGCCTGTCCTGCTGGCACGACTCGCTGAATCTTGGGTGCTGCAGCGTGTTTGTTGTTGCAGCTTCGGCTTTCCTAACTTGAGGAGACCGACGGAAGGTTCGAGCACAAAAACCGATAGACCTTTGACCTTGTTCTATGCAAATTGTGTACACATGCACGTGCAATGTACGTGCGCGGTGTGTTCATTGGCCCCAGTACAGACAAAAAAACACACGCACACACACACACACCAAACAAGCAAACTGAAACATCCATGAAATGCACTGACAGACTGACTGACTGAATGCACCTACCGACAGCACTCAAACTCTTTCCCTCTCAATCGAAGCTTTGTGCATCCAGCTGCTCTGCCGTAGGTGCCGCACCAGGAAAATTATGCGGGCACTGATGAACATGGTCCCTCCTGTTCCGATAGTGCTTTGCTTGAAGGCACCACCACTTCAACTTTAACATCACATTGTCTTCACCACCATGAGCAGAGAGAAAAGGAGTGTTCGACGGCACTGCTCATGTGTTGGGTGATTGCACGTGGCCTCGTAGCCTGTGGTGCTGCCATCACTGCCCTTGATGGGCGTAAACTTACAGCCTCTCCAAAAGAAGGTGAGGGGCCCCAAAACACCGCCCATGCCGGCACGACCTTTCGCCTTGGCTTTAGCTTTTGATTTGCTCTTTGCCTTTGCCTTTGCTTTTGGAGCCGGCATGCCGTCTGTGGCTCCACTGCCGGTGGAGATACTGCCAGAGCCACTACTGGAACCACTTGCAGAAGTGCCACCATCACTGCTGGAGTCGGAGTCTGAGCCTGAGCTGCTCCCACTGCTACTGGAACTGCCACAACGGTTGTCATCATCGCCGAGCACGACAGCGCCAACTCCGCCGCCAGTGTCTTCAGCAGCCTCAGCGTCAACTTCATCTTCGTCGATTTCGTCGATCATGCGAAGTAGTTCAGCGACGTCACCGGCACTGGCAGCATCATCGGAAGCGTCAGCGCCTTCCTGGCCATCTTCACAAGCAGCAGCGTCACCGACACCGCCATCATTATCCTCAATGGCTGGCGGCTGGTGAGCACCGGCACCGCCCTCTGGAAGCAGCTCGGAAGGTAGCCACCGTGGCTCTTTGACTCTTCTCTTTTTGCGTGCTGGTGGCCGCACAGGCGCATGATCTAACCATTCATCGCCATCTGCAATGGCACGGAAGGCGGGCACTCGGGGTGCCCGTGGCTCTGGTAACGCGAGAGCAGGAACACCCCTCAGGAGCCTTGTGTACACATCTTTTGCTTGACCGTGCGGAATTGCCGGCAAGTCATGCTGCACAGCCAACGTCAAAGCGAGCAGGTAGAAGCGATCAACAACGACACCGGACTTTTGCTGCACAAGGAACAATATCTTGCTGGAAGGTGCCTGCCGGTGATCAAAGGGGTCAGCTGATCGGCACTGGCTTGCACGGCAAACACGTGCTTCCCAGCCGTCGTCCAACAGTGTTTGTAGCAGCTGCCACTTCGACTGCTCCTCTGCTGGAACGGGTAGCTTCGCAAGCAGAAGACGTGGTTGGGTCACGGCATTGGCCAAGCAAACATGTCGCAAACCTTTGTCTGTGAGTTTGAATGGTGCATCCTCAGTCAACAGACCATTTTGCTGCAAGGGCAACAGGGCTGATCGTTGCTCAGCAGTCAAGGACGATGTGTCTCTCAGGCCTGCCTGGCCTTTCAAGAGAATCTTCTCAAGCACGACTCGTAAGGCCCGCGAATCTGAGATGGGAGGGGAGTAGTCTTCGCAAGCCCTCAAACAATACACAATGCTAGGGTCAACCCTCAACACTCTCAAGGATTTCAACTGGGATAAGGACATGCTGCTAAATGAAAGCACGCAAGGAATGTCATCCACAGCAAGCCCTCGGACTGCAGACCGCATGTTGAGCAGCTCTGAATCAACTAGCAGCTCTCTGCGCTCTTGGCTGAAGGAAGCAGCCCGAAGCAATGCGATCGGGAGGTCCGCGCTGCTCAGTCGCAACTCACCGTCAGCTCGGAAGCGTTTCATCTTCGACATGGATGGCAAAAACTTGAAAAACACGCCTGTCATCTGATGATGTGTCGCTTCTGCCTGACTGATTTTCTGAAAAAGAACTTCTATTTCCCTTTGAGGCCCAGGGCCGGATGTCTCAACCGCAACCAAGGCATCGGCATCGGATGGCGACGAGTACGCCAACATGGGCATCGGCTGCAGCTCCTGCGACGGAAGCACGAACTCACGAAGCAAGGCGAAAGCTCTGGCCTCGTAAGCAACAGCAAACACCACAGATTCTCCCGAGGAGCTCGTGTTCTGAACAGCAGGCAAGCGATCAAGCACATGTTCCAAAGCAAGTCTGTGGAGAATCGGCCCCAGTGCTGTGGCCTCAACTGCATGCTCCTCTGCTGTTGGGAGTGCCGGCCGCCGGGCAGATTTCGTGGCTGGGTCACGCACGAACACGTCTGGCATATTCTGATGCTGACTCAACATATCGGCACGATACAACAGATCTCGAACACGCCTGTCACGGGCTTTAGAAGATCGCACTGCTGGGTGCAGCCCCAGCCTCATGATTTTGGCAGCCTTTTTGTAACTTCGGCAATCCCTCACACACGGCGCAAGCCGTGCAACGAAATCCTTGGGATTTCCACACATCTCATCTCGCAAGTCTTTGGCTCGGATCTGCAAAGACATGTATGCCGGGCTGTGGCATGGGCTCTTCTTGGAACCCTTCTGGGTGCGGGCATGCTGGGCTTCCACACGGCGCTCTGCAATGGGGATTAACGCCAAGCCGGCGACCTCAGCTGCAAACAATGGACACGACATCAAATCTGCTCCGCAACACCAACGGTCACCCTGCTGCAGAACATCCGGCGAAAACAAGCGAGGCAACTGCTTGCGTAACCGGAGGGCCTCAGGCCCTTCTTCAGAAGCACACCGGATGCGATTCCAGACCTCACGAGCACGTTCCTGATCATGGTGAGCAAGGCCTGCAGCACACCATGGTAAACTGCGGAAGTGCGCAGTTTTCAGGGTAAGCACAGCCGTCAAAAACGACCGACCCATCTCGAAGTCTTGCACGATCTTGGTTCGATCCTCTGCTGGAAGATCAAGGGAAAAGCTTTGAACCAATGACGTAGCCCCATGAGACGACAAAGCAGAAAGCTCTTGCATGAAGTCGTTCAACGCCAGCTCTGGGGCACGACGGCCACGCATCGGGCATGATTCCAAGAGATTCCTGGTCGAAGCATCCATAGAGTTTGAACCACCACCTGTGAGAAGATGCCAGTGACACGGGCAGCTTTCTGTCCACGCGATCAAGTGCAAAGTCATTTCTGACAAAACCACAAGCATGGACAAGTATGCCTCAAAGAAGGGGCATCGCACGAGTGCATCGACCTCTAGAAGGGACGCACCTTCTGCTGCTTCGCCTGCACCGCCGACGGCACCTCCGTCCAGATACTTTGGCAAGCTCCAACCAAACCTCACGCAGGGCAACACCTCCTTCAGATCTAAAGCACACGAAGCAACCGTGCCCCAGCGAGCACGATAGCATTGAGACCTGAACTTTGCGACAGCTTCCTTGAAAACGGCCTCGCCTGGAAGACCCTGGCCAAAGCACTTGGCCAGCAACCGCTCCTTGGAATGCCTCTCTCTCAAAAATTTCGCCAGGACTGACATCTTCGAGACGTGCTCATCGTAGCACTCCATGCAAGAACCCAAATCTTTCGTTGCATTATGGATTATGTGCAGGAGGCCGCCTACACCGAAAGAAGTTTCAAAAGATATCGGCCCATCATCCTCATGTTCTGGGCAAGCTGGAACAGAGTCCGAATCCAAGAAATTCTCGAGCCCTGCTTGGACCGAAAATTCTGCTACATTTACATCATCCCCAAAGCTTGACTCTGAAAGTACTTGAAAACCCTGACCCTGACCATCACTCGCCAATGGCTGGCAAGACTCAGCATTAACTGCCCTGGGCGTGGGCGGCTCGAAAAACGGTAGCATGGCAGACAGATCAAAAGGCTCAAGTCTCGTAAGCAAGCTCTCCACGCCAAAGTCTGTCGTGATACTCACAAGACTCTTCAAGAAATGTCGCAGGGT